TGACATAGGGATGGATAGATGTCGTATAGTACCGTGTTGACTCACCTAGATTAGGATCCGGATATATAATTTGTATCTGACAACATAGCACACTGGGAACTCTCTATAACATAATTTATATCTGTACCGAAGACAACATGTAAGCCTTGTAGGCTACCCTGTGATAAATACAAAAATTAACCAATCAATCGAACGACAATGAAATCGTGTGTTAAAGTCCGTATTACATATAATCAAACTTTACTGTTACATTATGTATAATGTCATATGTTTTTTGTGATTCTCATTGGATGACGCATTTCAGTTTTGTTTACTATTGACCAATGGTGACTCGTGACATTACTGCTTTACATTGTATGTTATTTATTTAATGTTTGTCTACACTTTTATTGCTGTTAACTAAGAAAAACTGTATTTCTAAAGATGGAATAAATAATTATTATAACATACGTTAAAAGTAAATAGTCCACTGGGTTCTCTTTGTCCAAGGTAAAATTCAGCCTGCCATACTTTCTTAGGAATGTGCTGTGATATGGGTGATTCAGTGACGTCAGTCGCAACAAGAGAACAGTCCACATATAAATCTATGCCATTTTCTGATTTTTCAAGATCTTTTAGATGAAGTATAATTGAATGCCAACGGTCGTCTGCTAGACTGAGACCCTCAAAAACCATCGACGTCTGTCCATCAGAGGTCAAATACGTGAAAGTAGCTTATATGTAAAAGAGAAATAGGCGTGAAAGCTGTTAAAACAAGTTTTCACGTCTCGCATTAGTAGACCTAACGTCTAGAGAACTTTGTGTGCTTTAAATACATATCTAAAACACAATTAGACGTAGCACCGACTCCATTGTTTTTCTAACATTTTTTAAACAAGTAGTTTATTGATAAGAATAAACACCGGATACAAGCAAAGTACTCAAACACCAGTTATACCACAAATATTTTTACAACCTCCAAGAACACTTGAAGCGACGATGTTCGAAGAAACCATGCCCGAAATTTAACATAACATAACTGTATATCAGTATTATTCCAGGGCGGTGTGTGTGTGGGGGGGGTGTTTTTTTACCGTGGAAATATGATTGTTCAGCCAGCACCTACACAATGGGTGTGTAATGAATAAAATGATAAAATGTTTTTTGCTGATTGCCAAGTACGACGAAGAAGACCAATTCCTTAGTGTTAATATCGGAAAGCACCCGGTGTAGATGATGTCTGGTTGACATTCTTTAAATCGTGCCTTTTTTCGATAAATAGAATCACATTCCTGCCTTTATGACCTATGATCTTTTTAAAGTTTATTTTCATTTGTTTAACATTATTTATAGAGGGTAGTAAGAGTTACAATAACTACGCAATTTATATTACAACCCTCTAAGAAAATAAAAGACGGAAGTGTGGCGATATCAAATGACTCGTGACTCGTATCCTTCCAACCCATAGTTTCATATCGATAACAATAGCATCATATGATGCGTGATATCAAATGCAGATAGAACGATAAAGGGCGTGTAACTGTGGTGATGTGCACAGGGAAAAAGTACATTTCTAGAAATACAAATAAGCAGGTCTGTGAAATGTTAGTGGTCATCTCGTATTGGTCCAGTGTTCTTATATAGCGTGTATTGAGTGTTCTTGAACAGGGCAATACCTTCTTTTATGTTTCCACAATCAAGCCAAGACATATAAAACTTGGGATCTTAGTATATATGTTTGTTTATGTAGTATGACGTAACGCACCTGTATTTAAAGCATTTTCACCGCCCACCATTAGTTCTAGATAAATCTCTTCACTTTTCTTCGAGTATATTCCAATTATTACACCCCCTGGAGACTTGTCACTCAACCTCAAGCGACCGACAATAAATGCCTCATCCTGTTTCCGAATCTCCTTGGTTACCTGCTTTAGAACGTGTTTCCCCATTCTCACGACACTATTACTATCTTGGCGGTCGAAGACGAAAACATCTCCAAATGCGTTACTGCCATATTGAGGTAAAATATCAACTCCTGTCACTGACCCCGAAACTACTTGTTCTTGAAGCTCTTCCAAAAGGTCAATTTCTGTGAAAGAATCATCATCAGCTTATATTTACATTTAATATTAGTACTTAAATAATTATGACCCACCCAAGAAGCTTATGATTGCGTTTGCAGTTTTAAAAGTACAGAACTTTACTACTAATTGGCCGATAACGAGATCAATGGAAGTTTATCAAGTTTGCCATTCTCCATAAAATTGTGAAATAAGAAAAACTGACATACCCATCGATTAATTAAAACTCAATAGTTCCTTTTTGATTCTACGGGTAAATAATAAATCAATAACGACTGGACAGTGAGAAATAAAACCGAGAAACCCCGCGGGCAGGCCAACACCAAGTGGCACAGACAATGGGGGAATCGAACCCCCCAGCCCCGTGCCATCGGGATAACAGTCATCCGTTTGACACATTTCTCGGTTCAAAATAAAACGATTAAACGATTACAAGTGATTAGCGGAGGTTACAAACAGATAAACAATGAACAAGTGACGAGAAGTGAGTTAGAGACATGTACGACATTGAACGATAAAAATAACAAATGGTTGTACACTCAAATAATTACAATTCTAAAAATACTTAAAAGTACAATAAATCTAATAAAAAGCAATTGAAAAGGCGGGTTTGTACAATTAAAAAGGATATTATTAAACTCAATAGTTAATTAATGGACACAGCAATAATAACAATATACATAGGACAAAGTACATTTACACACACACAC